GAACAACTTGGCTATCGATCAGGGCTACCGGAGGAAGCTGACCTCTTGCTCACTGGACGACGCGACAGTCCCGCGTTCTTATGTCTCTCAGCCGTTCTCCATCTTGTCGTCGTCATCCACTTTCCTTCAGGACTGAGCCGTGGTCGTCTCCAGTGCTCCCGATGTCACCATCGCCTGCCATCGTGCGTTAAGTGGGCGTTCATCCCAATCGCATGAGCTTGTTTTGTCGACACCACATGAGCCGCTAGCTTCACTTGGCAGGTCGATGTGCAAGGTCACCCCCAGACTGGGGCCGCCCCTGGCGCTTGGCCTGCATACGAGCGACTCTCATCTCCAGAGTGCACCTTTGTTGGAGCTAAGGTCAGGATTATCACGGATATGTCGGCTGTTGAGCTGCCGGTACTGCATGTTGGAGGCGGCCGACGGACTTCTAATGCCGTTCTAGGTCCGTGATATGAGATTTCTTTTTGCCGTTATTTCTGGTAATATTGTTGGCTCTTGACGTGATCACCGCGCGATAAGAGAAGTGGGGAGTGATTGGCCGCTGAACCCCGGCGCGAACAAAAGATCCCCTTCCCGATGCCCGCGTGTGCCAGCATGCGGCTTGTGGGTTGAGATGCCTCGGCCCGTCAACCGAACCTGCAGACTCGAATCTCACGGATAGGACTTCCCAAAGAATTCTCAATTGGCAGGTGGTGAGCAGAGATTATTGATGAGGGGCTTTGCGGCCTGAGATTGCCCAAATCATGATTCGTGTTTGCACTAACAGATTTAGTCCTCACTCATAGGAGGTCCTCATTCTCTTTACTGCGTTGGCCACCGACTACCACTGTGTTACTCAAGACCCATCAACAGCTACCTAACCTCGAGCGCCCGTTGTCTCCCATCATTGGGCAAGGTTATTCATTGAAAGTCATAACACCCAAGAGCTGTTGAGGCTCATTGCATTTCACAGTACACTTGATACAATAGGTACACGGAATGACACAATGGTCAATGTTGATATAATGAGACCACCTAATTTTCCTGTGACTGCACGGCTGTATTTTCTGTGTCCTTAAGTGTTCCCACGTTATCGACGACGATAGTAGCGACGAAGGTGATAACGACGACGACGGCAACGACAGCGACGATAGAAGCGACGACGACGCCGGTGAGGTAGAGTATAGCCACAGGAAAATTAGTCGCTCTACCATAGGAAAAATACGCGGTCTCGATATAATAAGGATTATAGGACCAGTACAGTAGCACTTTCACCCCAGGTAGCCCGCCAGAAGTGTCTGCGCCGTTGCTGCAGCATATAATCCATAGTAACCTTCATTAGTTTTGCAGCCTAGTTGTCTCATTCCGATCATCATCTACCCTCGAGCGGCCAAGCCTACCCGACAAACGATCCAAATACGTAACATCCTCTGCTCTCTGGTGTTTGCTCAGGACTACGTGACTAGCATGGCTAGCTCCAATCTTCATCATAGCCCACGCATCCAGTTTCGTGTCTACCAAATCAGACCTTCGTGCCGCATACGCTGCAAACAGAGACAACGCAACCAGGTGCACTGCCAACAAAATGCTGATCGTGATCATCCCGGCCAGTGACATAGAAGGGATTACGGTGTCCAAGCCTTGGTCACGGTTGACCTCCACGGAGTTTCCATTCGTTTGGTGTTGGAGCCAGGCCTGGTTCGCTATAAATGCAGCACGAGTGAAGATGTTTTTGATCGTCCCTCTAACATTTTTTGCGTCATCCTGGAAATAGAAAAAGCTAGAGAACCATTTTGACATGTTGTATTTCAATCTGGGCTCGTTGCTGATGTCTGCGCTTGTGGTGCATAATATTTCTTGTGATTTGTATCCCTCGTCTTCAAGTAAGAGTCCGAGGGGGTTGAGATATATGCAAGTGGAAGAAGCCGTGGTGTTTGATGTGACGTTTAGGTTCACAAACGTTGAAGAGTTGGACAACCTAGTGTCCAAGAAGGACTTTCGGCCGAAGAGCGCGAGTACAACCGTAAGCAGGGGTCCTTTGTTGGGGACCCTTTCTAGCACATTGGGCTCCCACGGATCTATCCCAAGAAGGATGCGTTCGTCATGGTATAATGGGCTGGTTTTGAAGCATAAGTACCGTAAACCAACCAACCATATGACAAGGCTCAGACTTACATGCTATCATCTCCACCATCTTTATCTTTCAACATGAAGTCGTTGTATACTGATACTTGCTTTTCACAGCCTGTGTGGCATGCACCTTCAGGACCGAATGGGTCTTTGTCAAGCAAATCGCCAGCTGTTTGATTCCATTCGTTTGGTAGCTGAAAGTATCCCGCTGTGGTACTCATACTGATCTTCCAGTACGAAATCTTCGGCTCCTTTTGCTCAAAGCTAATGTTGAGATACAGGTTCTCTGTAAAAGTCTGTCGATCCCTTGTCCGCTTCCACGGAGTGGTGGTGAGATTGCCCGGCATGCATATTTGGATCGAAACCGGTGGATATCCAGGATAGCTCGTACCGCCACCTTCAGTGAAGTAACTTGCCCAGAAAGATCCAGGCATTGTCTCACAAGACCTCGGGAAGTCTTCTGCAGTCATCAAAGCCACATCTGTTGTGGAGTTGATGCGGGGGATGAACTGACGGATAAGTCCGGTCGAATAACCAGCTGGTAGTTGGGTCAGAAAAGGGGCTTCTAGCTTTGCAATATCTTCAAGGGTCGTTCCAAAGCGGCATGCCTCTGATATGCGCTTACCATCGACCTCTTCAGAGTCAGAACATGCGTAGCCGCTGCCTTGCCACAATTGCGCTTGTGGCTGAGAAGACCTAGTTGTTTCCAACAAGCCACGTGTGATGAGAACAACTGAATTATCTTCGCGATATCCTCGACCTGTGTACTTAAATTGCTCGGGAATATCGGCCAGGTAGCTCGTACCCCCAGGGGAGTAAGTGACCTTCTTCGACAGGACCGACAAGAAGGATTCTTGCAACGGGGAGAGCAGACCACCAAGGATGTACACTGCAATAGCCACAACGAGAAAAGGCGACTTGTGCCGTCCCCCTGGAGTCGTTGCTACAGCTATTGCATCCGTCCAGCTCTTGTCCGCCAGTGCAATTAATTGACGCAAGCTCAGATCGTGCGAACTTCGTTGGACGTAGATGACGGCTGCAGCTGACATGACCGATGTCGTAAGAGGGAGGGTCAAAACCGCGATGACTGACTGCAAGACCCTAATGCGTTGATACCAATCCCTGTTTTTCTCGATCGTTTGGCGGATCAAGTTGATGTTTCCCCCATTGTACTCGCTCTGATAGTCCATAACATACTGTTTTGTGAACTTCAAGGGCCATAGCGGTCGGTAAGTCATCACGCATGTCGTAATCCAAGCAAAAATCGACAGAGTTGCGTACCCTGCTACCAAATAGGCAGGCACCAGTGATCGCGACTGAACTACTGGCTGATGTGGGTGTTTGATTGAGTCCAAGTCTTTCGACTCGGCGATTGGGGTCTGTGTTCTCGATGTATCCAAAAGAGACATGGAACTTGGAGGTTCCGGGGATGGTGTCCGCCGCCCAGGAGTTGGACGGATAACATTGGGGTCTGAGTCGTATTCGCCGTTTGGCAGTGTGTCTCGTGTTTCTCCCTCGGAGGTGGCCATTGGCACGGTTGCGAGGCCTAAGTATGTATGGCAAAAGTTGGGGACCGACACAAAAGAAAAGGATGTCGTAGGGTGGCCAAGGTGGAAAGGGGATTTATGGAACCTAGATACCTCAGCCCTGGTGGGCGATTAAAGCGCTTTAGATTGCCGTCTTATCGATGTTTCGCCTGTCTCAAATCATGACGACAACCCGCTTCGTAGCGATATGCTCGAAGCGACGCTGCATTCCTTTCAATGTCTATCCAGGGCTTGTCTTGAAACTCTTAGGCAGACAGGGTGGGCGAAAGCCAATCACAACTCGTGGCTGACAGCTTAGATCTGCGGGATTGAGGCGCTGGTTAACATGGATTTTAGTGCTTATCCTGTGATGCGACATTCTAAGGGATTGGGGCCTAGCCACTTCATACCCTTGCTAGCATCGTTTCCATTGACTTAGAATCAGTCCACTCAATGCACATTTACTACCACTGAATGACTTTAAATCTACTGTTTCTGATCATAGATGCTCAAGCTGTATCACCCCGCATTGTCTACACATTTCCATGACCATCAACGACCTGCCTTTAGGCGTATCGTATTCTTCACCTGCCAGTATTTATACTTCAGTCCTGTGGCATATAATTATTTGGTCTGTTGAATTAATCTTTCGTCTGTCGTTTCTGTTGTCTATGTTGTCTCTATAGTTCTCGCTGTCTCTATTGTATCGCTGTGGCCTCACTGTCTTTTGTCATCCCCACTGGTCATTTCATTCCGTCGTTGCTGAACATATGTACACCAGGTACATGTATATTGTGCACGTCGTCCGGATTGGTATATCTAAGTTAGTCTTCATCCATAGCCTTCCGCCATATGTGATGCTTCTGAAATTGCCATCCAATCCAATCTGACTTTGTTGGAATCTTAATTTATCTCAATTTCACTTACATTATCGGAGTAGACCGGGAGAGCAGAGCTAGAAATGAATAGGCGCTTACATTTGAAAACATGCAAATAGGAGTTCACAAATACATATGCAAAAGAAAAGACGAAATATTTGCACAGACTGACATGCTGCGTGGTGTATTTGAGCTTGCATCTACTTTCTCCCAGACGTGATAGAATATGATGGCCAAATTGCATGGAACTCTTTTGGGCGGTTTTGCTCAGTGTTGGTTACTTCCACCCTGGCTGAATTTGAACGAATGAATCCCCCCCTGTGTTTTCAGAGAAAGCACCTCTCAACAACCAATCGTTCTGCGCCGCTTACCGCCATATTGCCCAGCCTGCATAAAGCTCCGCCACCTTCAGCTTACCTCGATCATCTCAGATCAGGCTGGGACAAGTTAGCAATCTCCCAACCTCAGATGTGAACACATCGCCATGGCTGAATCGCTCGCGGCGCTCGGCGTCGCGTCCAACATCGTCCAGTTCGTCGAGCTTGGCTTCAACATCACAAAGGCCGTGATTGAGACATACCGAAGTACCGATATTAATGGCCTGGCGGAGCGCAATGTCGACCTGGTCGCCATGACTACCAGCCTCAAAGATCGGTGCACTCTCCTCCAGGATGACGCTGCGGCGAAAGCTGACCCGATCACCATGGGCCTCCTGAAACGATGTATCAAAGTCGCAAATGAGCTACTTTTCGAGCTTGAAGGGCTCAAGATGAGCGCTGCCGACCGTCACCGGAGCTTGGCGAAGTTCATAGTGTCTGTCAAGGCATATTGGAAGAAGAGCAAGATTGAAGACCTTGCGGCCAGAATCGTGGACATAAGGAAGGAGATCTTTCGGAGATTGGAGCCTTTGATACAGTGCGTCCTCCAACTACACCAATACTTGTGCGAAGGTGGCTGACAGGTCGATAGTGATCACCGCAAATCGCTTTCGGAAGCCATGCGCTCACTGGGCGAGGCATCGACCGCTTGGAATAACGCCACCGAGAAAAGACTAGACTCTATTGCCCGAGACCTTGAAAGGCTTCTAGACAGCAATTCAGTGGGGACGTCGTCAAAGGATTTTGGGGCGTTTGCAAACCAGCTCTCCAAGTTTGCGGACGAGGCAAAGCATCGCGGCAATATAAGGACAATCCTTAAAAGTCTTCACTTTGCGCAGATTAAAGAGAGGCAAAACGAGATTCCCCAGGCTCATCGCAACACGTTTCAGTGGATATTCGACGAATCATCGTCTACTGGCTTTGCGTCATGGTTCCAATGTCCCAGCGAAGGCGTTTTCTGGATAACGGGGAAACCTGGATCTGGAAAATCCACCCTGATGAAATTCATTCTGGGTCATCAGACAACCAAAGATCTGGCCGAGGCGTGGGCCGGTTCAAAGCCCTTTATCCTCGTCAGTCACTTCTTTTGGAGTGTTGGTAACAAGATTCAAAAGTCACAGGAGGGTCTTCTCCGGACCCTCTTGTTCCAGATCATGGTTCAATGCCCAGAACTCATCCCGGAAGTTTGCGGGGAGAGGTACTCAGATCCCTTCAGATCCCTCGAGTCCTGGAGTATTGAAGAGCTCTCCGAAATATTTGAGAGAATTCAGCACATCCGGGGGCTACCAAAACGAGTTTTGCTTCTCGTTGACGGCCTTGATGAGTACAGCGGCGAGCCAAGGGAGCTCACAATATTCTTGGGCGCCATTGCGAAATCACCAGACATCAAAGTATGTTGCGCAAGTAGGCCTTGGTCTGAATTTCTTGAAGCCTTCGGTAGGGGTCGTTGGACGTTTGAGATACACAAGTTGACCCAAAACGACATTGTCCGATATGCAGAAGATAACTTGTCAAATGATGCAACGTTCAGAGCCCTACGACACGCACAAAAAGACGAGTCGCAAAATTTAGTCCAGGCGATCTGTGACAAAGCAGAGGGCGTTGTCTTTTGGGTTTCTCTGGTGATCAAGTCACTACTTCGAGGGCTACAAAATCATGACGACTTGGACATCCTCCACAAGCGTCTGGCCGAGTTCCCTTCGGATCTTCAGCCGTTTTTTCAACGCATGCTGGATTCGATTGAGGACGTATACGTCGATGACGCATTTTGGGCATTTACGATCTTACTTTCGGCAAAAACGTCCTTGCCAGTGCTTCTCTTTCGGCATATGAGTCAAATGAAAGAGCTGGAGAAGCCAAAGTGGATAGAAAGCAAGTTCTCGCAGCCTAGGATCTTTGCCACCAAGGGAATAAAAACAGGATTTGAGCAGGCACATGTATCGTTGGCGTACTTGGAGTCCAAAAGGCCGCAATCCGAGACACAAGTGCTGCAACCCCAGACACAAGTGCTGCTCTCCAAATGCCGAGATTTAGTCCAAGCGTGGAGTACTGGACGACAGAATGAAGAACGGATAGGCTTTCTCCACAGGACTGTCTTTGAGTTTCTTCTTCAATCTTCGTCTCTGAGACAATATCGCCTTAACATACCCATTCGTCAAGACTGCTTATTTCCAATGGCATGTTTAAGGGACATGGACGAATACGAGGATTCAGCTGAGAAGGGTGGCGATTCCTTTTTCAGGATTTGCCACTTCTTTCAAGAGCTCGAAAACGACAACCTGCCATTCCAACCTCACCTTTGGAATGATTTGTTCGACTTACACCGCATGCCACCTCTGTTCTATGGTCCGTATACATCTCAGGCGGTGGGGCAAACCGTAGCGCGCTTCATGTTGAAACTGGATGCCTCCCAAAAGGGTACTTTAACGAGTTCGCATTTCAGAAACATTTGGACAGGGATCCTAGCGCGCTCTGTGCATGTCGATGTCGCCGAAGATGTCAAGGTCACACAACTCGATCGTATTGACATAGACTTGCTGGCCGACATCCTCAATTTGTACGAGAAAACCCTTGTAAACTCAAGAGACGAGTTTGAACATGTTTGGACGGAATTTGTACATAATATCTCGAAACGAGAGTATTCGCCGTTTGCCGCCCGGACGCGCCTCTTTAACTCTAACCCCGAGCGGTCACCTCCGAAAAACGCGATCCAAGCCTGCAAGATGTTCGTTGAGCGCGGAGCTCCTAGATACCTGACATCGGAGCTCGCGAAAAAATACCGCGTTGAAGAACGACCAGACGACTCGTCACAGGAAAAGGATTTTGATGTGATATACAGATTGCGGGCTTGTCGGAGATTCGAAGAGGCCGAAGTGGATGAACTGATGGATTTGTTTCCTTCGGAACGTTTGTCGCAAAAAGCATTCACGGGTCTAGGTCAGCTTTGGGGCTGGCTGACAATGAAGCCGGCGAATAAGGCATGATGTGTGGGTCAAAGATTCAGCACGTCTTTTGGAAATGCCGTTCTGGTAGATGTTTTTTTATGGATCTACGGGTCGTCTCGAAGAGTTGATAGGTGATCGAGACGGGAACAGCAACGGCGACAGGAACCGTAGGGCTTTACTGGCAAAGGTAGATGACTTCCATGGACAAGCAACAACGAAGCGATGAAAATTCGTCCTGATGAAACGCTGCTCTAACAGCTATTAAATCACTGGTTGAAGTTGTCATATTTGTATTAAGAAAGCTATGCTATCCGGCTTGCTTTTTCCCACCGTGACTCCACAAACTCCGAGACCCAAGGACATCATCCTGGTGATACCATGATGGCCAGCAACCGCTCGTCTCCCGAACAAAGGTCAATGTAGTTATTATGAAGAGGGGTCCGCCTTCGGGACGCTGGGAAGCTCGGCGGCAATCGCTTTTGCCTCCTCTGTCTCTTGCTTGGAAGGCCCATCGGAGACCTGGTCGTGGGTTGTCGTTTTGTCCGTGGGAGGGAAGAAGAGACTGGGCAAACTGTTAGCAGCTATCTCGAAACAGTTGATCAGGGTGTACATACGGCAGGGTCTCGTTGTAAGCATTGACATCCTTCATCTCGAAGGTGCAGAACACGATCTTGTCCAGCTTCTTGCCATTCTCTCCGTCAAGGAACTTCCTCACGACACCAGCGGCGACGGGCGCAGCCTCGCGGCTAGGGTATCCGTAGACTCCAGTGCTGATAGCGCTGAAAGCGATGCTGCGGCAGCCGTTCTGGACAGCGAGCTCCAGGCTGGACTGGTAGCAGCCCTTCAGCTGCTCCTCGGAGGTCTCAGGTGCGAGCTCATCGTAGACGGGGCCGACAGTGTGGATGACCTTCTTGCAAGGCAAGTCATAGGCGCCGGTGATCTTGGACGAGCCGGTCTGGCAGCCGTTGAGGGTGCGGCACTCCTGCAGAAGACCGCGACCGGCGGCGCGATGAATGGCGCCGTCGACACCACCACCTCCGAGCAGACTCTTATTGGCGGCGTTGACGATGGCGTCGACGCCGAGATTCGTGATGTCGCCACGGATAACGGCGACCTTTTGGTTGTGCGACAGGTTGGGGGCGTGGAGGGGCTTCGCGGGGGCGGAGAGCTTGCCAAGCTTGTAGAGGAGCTCAACGGTCGGGATATCGGCGACGGCGGTGGTGGCCATTCTGACGGCTTGACGGATTGGCATAGGCGATTTCGCGGGCTTAGTTTGAGTCGGTTTCGTGGCCGATTTGGAGGGTTTCGGCGCGGGAGGGGGAGGCTGTTGGGTTGTTGGTGACAAAGAAGCAGGCGACCGGAAGCAGGAAAGGTGGGAGCCCATGACGAAAGAAGAATGGAAAAAGCCCCACGCTGAGCTTAAGCTTGGCTTATCGGGCTTATCGGTTTGTTCTGGAAGGAGCGCTGTTCGGACGAAGCAGGGGGCAGGTAGCTGGAATAAATCATCAGCAAAATTCGTTGAGTTTTCACGCTCTTAAAATGCTCGAAAAATCACCTCACGTTTGAGTGATTTTTCGTTTCTGTTCAGGTCATCAGGCTCAATATTGGAAGCTTCGAGGGCGGCATCGCCGTTGAGCCTTAGGTGCCTTGCGCCGTAAATGTCTAGCACCTTTGCGGCTGGCTGTTTGCTTCCTGCCTGCCTTATCTTAGCGTTGTCGCCGGCTTATCTTATCAGCCCCCAACTTCTTATCTTATCGTGCCTTTGTCGCGTGTCGCAAGGAGGTCGCAGCGGATGACCCCTCGCCCCTCACTGTCCGGATCCAGTTGAGTCATCCCCGCTGTAAAAGAAGTGCTGCCCCGCCACCACAACCACACATTTTCCACCTCTTGAGCTGCCCTCGAACCCAATTGAACCTTTTGAGCCAGCACAAGCGATACGCACAAGACACGAAACCCTTTCCGATTGTCGCGCTCCCCGATTGAATACCGACACCATGGCGGACACCCCTGCGGATCCCACCGCCAAGCTGGCCGAGTCCACGGCCAAGCTCCAGCTCGATGAGGAGACGGGCGAGATGGTTAGCAAGGGCGAGCTGAAGAAGAGACTGGCCAAGCGCGCGAAGAAGGCTGCCACCGAGAAGGCAAAGGCTGCGAAGGAGGCCGCGGGTGGTGCTACTGAGAGCAAGCCCAAGGCTGCGCCCAAGCCCAAGGCCGAGGAGGTTGTTCTCGACGCCCAGGCCATGTTCAAGCAGGGCTTCCTCGAGGAGGTCTACAAGGAGAGGCCATCTGAGAACGTTGTCACCCGATTTCCTCCCGAGCCCAATGGATAGTGAGTGTTGTGATCTGTCTAGAGTGCTCTCGCACCACTAACAACCCCCTTGTCTCCACATCGGTCACGCGAAGGCCATTGCCGTCAACTTTGGCTTCGCCAAGTACCACGGCGGTGTCTGCTACCTGCGCTATGACGACACGAACCCCGAGAAGGAGGAGGAGCGATACTTCACTGCGATCGAGGAGATGGTCAGGTGGCTGGGATTCGCTCCCTACAAGATTACCTACTCGAGTGACAACTTCCAGAAGCTGTACGACCTCGCCGAGAAGCTGATTACCCTGGGGAAGGCCTACGTGTGTTACTGTGGTGGTAAGTGCGGACGCATTGTTCTGCTAGCCATTAGATGCTAAGATGCGATCACAGACACCGAGATCAAGCTACAGCGCGGTGGAGAGAAGGGAGCCACCCCCCGATTCCGATGCGAACATGCGAACCACTCCGTCGAGGAGAACCTCCAGAAGTTCAGAGACATGAAGGACGGAAAGTACAAGCCCAGGGAAGCCTTCCTTCGCATGAAGCAGGACATCACCGACGGCAACCCCCAGATGTGGGATCTTGCGGCGTACCGCATCAAGACCGACACACCCCACCACCGAACCGGCTGGGACTGGAAGATCTACCCCACATACGACTTCACGCACTGCTTGTGCGATAGCTTCGAGGGCATCACCCACTCCCTGTGCACAACAGAGTTCGTCCAGAGCCGCGTATCTTACGAGTGGCTGAACAAGACTCTTGGCGTCTACGAGCCCATGCAGCGCGAGTACGGCCGTCTGGGTATCACCGGCACCGTCCTCTCCAAGAGAAAGATCCTGAAGTTGGTGGAGGAGAAGATCGTTCGTGGCTGGGATGACCCTCGCCTGTACACATTGATTGGTATCAAGAGGAGAGGTGTTCCTCCTGGCGCCATTCTAGACTTTGTGAACGAGCTGGGCGTCACCACCTCTGTCTCCGTCATCCAGATCAAGCGCTTCGAGCAGACTGTCCGCAAGTACCTCGAGCGCACTGTTCCCAGATTGATGATGGTCCTCGACCCCATCCCGGTTATCATTGAGGGCGCTGAGACCCAAGAAGTCGAACTGCCTTTCTCTCCCAAGGACCCCAAGATGGGTTCCCACACCGTCAAGTTCACGCCTACCGTCTACATCGACCGCGCCGATTTCCGAGAGATCGACAGCAAGGACTACTTCCGCCTTGCGCCCAACAAGACCGTCGGTCTTCTCAACGCCCCTTGCCCCATCAAGGCCACATCCTACACCAAGGACGAGACCACCGGCAAGGTCACCGAGATCCGCGCCGTGTTCGACACGGAGACCAAGAAGCCCAAGGCCTTCATCAACTGGGTCGGCACGGAGGGTTCCAAGAAGGTCGAGGCCCGCATCCACAACTCCCTGTTCAAGAGCGAGAAGCCCGACGATGCCGAGGGCGGTTTCCTCAACGATATCAACCCCGATAGCGAGGTCATCTACCCCGACGCCATCATTGAGAGCGGCTTTGACGAGGTCAAGCGCCGCGCGCCCTGGCCCGAGGCTGCTGGCGAGAGCGAACTCGGCAAGGGTGGACCCGAGAGTGTCCGTTTCCAGGCCACTCGTATTGCCTACTTTGTGAGTATCATCCTTGCAGCAAAAACTCATTTTCCATGCTAACCAGTTTTAGGCCGTCGACTCTGACAGCACTGATGACAAGATCATCCTCAACCGTATCGTGTCGCTGAAGGAGGATGCCAACAAGAACTGATTGGGGATCACGGACAAAAGGAGGATTAGGGACAGTGATTAGGTGACGTGGGAGCATTCGGAGTTGCATAGACGGCGGGAAAATACCAAGCAAACTCCACGATTAGTGGCAGTGAATGATTGCTTTTGTTCTTTTTTAGCGCAAGTCATGGGATTGAGTGAATCATCGTGTGCCTCTTCCTTGCTATTTGATCTCGGTGAAACTGATTATGGAGGTGAACATCACACACACGGCACCAACATGAGGCTCTTTCGCTACTTCGTATCATCCATGGCGTGGAGAATGTGGCTATGGCTACTCTGCGCAGATTTCACATTAGTTGAATCTATATCGCCGAATACGTCGACGAACTCCCCTGCAACGCCGTTCCAAAGCGCGATCTCAACCACGACCCGGCAGGATGATCTAGAGGACACTTGCCCAAGCCACACAGGTAAGCTACCTTACAATATACTACAAGCGCTTCTAACAGATCACAGTGATGTGCCACCTCCCGCACAACTGGAACTGCTGCCCCTCAACCTCTCAATGCTGCGGCGCAGGCTGCTGCATCGCGGGCTCCCACTGCGTCGACCAGCTCTTCGGCCGCTGCTGTACCAACGGCAAGCGGCTCTGCGGATCGGTTTGCGTCGCGGGGGAGTGCTGCGGCAAGGGCGGGTGCGGGGCCAGGGAACGGTGCTGCGGCGGCGGGATATGCTGCAAGGAGGGCGAGGTCTGCGACTACGGGAAAACGTGTGTCAGGACGAAGACCTCGGAGGAGAGCGGCGCAGGCCGCGGTGTTCCGAATGCTTGGTTCGGCTGGCGGGCTGCTGGTGTTGTAGTGGTAGCAGGAGTCATGGGCGCGGGCTGGGTTCGTCTGTAGGGGCGGGAGGCCGGGGAATTATTTGGGACTGTTATGAGACGAATCGATGCTAGGCTACGCTTATCTCGGGAATGAGATAGGACTTCGGATCTGCCGAGTTCTCCGTGGTAATGGCAGCTGAAAAGAAGGGTGTCAAGACGCTACGTTGGCGAGGTCATCCAAATTGTCGGGACAGGTGTTGAGTCGACGCCATGTGTCAGGAACAGTCCGTACATCGCGTCATTTAGACTCTCGCCCAGTTGAACAACCGTTTAAAATACGACAATCCATCTGCGACAGAAGAGTGAAAAAAAGAGGCCGACTTGCATTTTTTGACAGATTACAGCAATCAACATGACTCTGTCAGTTGTCGATCAGAAAATTGTGATGCTGGACAGAGTTCAATAGCAGAGTCGCATTAATGGGGGTCCCCAATTAACCCATCAAAATGCGAGCGAGCGCCATCCGGAACTTGCGGCAAGAAGGGGTGTTCACCAGCACCTCTGACAACTGGGATCTCCTGACTGTCGAGATGCACGCCATGCCCCGGTTCGCTGGCCTGTCAAAATCAGACACATAGGTGAACGAGGACGATAGACTTTGCAGAGGCAGATTTGCTAATCAGCCCAGTCCAGCACACCACACACACGCGCAGACTTTCAGACGGGAGGTGAGGTGAAGAAATTTGGTGTTCTTGGCGGGAATGGGACGCAGGATCCGAGAAAGTTAGGCGTCTTTTCGGATGGAAGTTTTTTTTGGTGGTGGGCTGGCAGGTAGGTAGCACTGTAGCAGCGGGAGAGCAGGTGAAGCAGAGGCCCGGCGACCCCGGCAGTTTGAGGACCAAAGTGGCCGGCCGGATAACCTTATTCACGGAGCCGGGACTTCGGGCGGGTCCGTGCCCGGGTTCCGGGTGGGTTGCAGTTTGGGCGAGAGAAGAAAAGGGCAGTGAGTGGTTGTGAGGCGGGCGCATTCTGATTCGTGGCTTGGGCGGATAGGGCAGTGAGCATGGGTGAGGCGTTTTGGCTTTCTGGTGGGAGGGCCACGAATGAAGAGATACAGAAAAGCGGGGTTGAGCTGACCATGGACTGGGTGCCCTTGCATGGCATGACGGGGGCGGCCGCGGACACCCTGGCTCGTTACAGGGAAGCGGAGGAGAAGAAGGTGTTCTTCTCATTTTGTCCGGCCTCTGCAAGTCTGCTTGCGCCGTTGCGTGCGCGAGATGCGGGCTGTCATCTGAGGTATTGCTGTGTGGTAGTTTTGTTCAGACTTTATTGAATGAACGAACTGCGGGTTACTTAGTCATGCAACGCGTTGACGAACGTTGGAGGCAGCGGAAATTTGGCGTCGTTCATTTGAGTAACTTTGTGCTGCAATATACGAAAAATGAAGTAAAAAAAAACACATCAAACAGCAGTGAAGAAAGGACCCCTCAGGTTTAGCGCCGCTGCGACATGGTGCTGATGCTGGTCGCTGCGCCGCAGGGCGGGCGAATCCTCAGCCCGGCTTAAGCTGGATACGGAGTACGGAGGATTTCGCGTGGGTAATTGACAGGCCTGGGCGGGCCTGCGTAGGGCGGGGGAACACGCCCGACTGCGCGGAGGACATGTCCATTGCTGTGTTGCCTGGCTGGGGGCTATCTGTTGAATTTGTTGGAGTTTTCGTCCGTCCTCCCGCGTCGCGATCCAATCTGTGGTGTTTCTGACTGCATGGGCTCCAATTGGGCCTGTATGATGCTGACTATGATGACAGGGGACACAGTGACCGTGTCTGTTCCAATGGCGATGGCCCTGCAACTGCAGGCAGCCTCTTCCCGTCTTTCTTCGTTCCCGCCTTTGTGCGACTCGATTCGGCTCCTTCCATTGGCCTTCCCCATGATTTTTTTTTCTTTGCAATTCGTCTCTTGCCCAGCCTGGACGGCCCGGCGTGGCCCCTGCCCTGCCCTGTTCCTGCCCCTCAACGACGTCTCCTCTGCGTCTCCCTTCCTTCCCTGTCTCGCTCTTTCTGAGTGTGCCTTCCGCGACTGCCCAATCTCGTGCCTTCCTTGTGCCTTCCTTGCGCCTTCCAATTACTGTTATTACGATGGACCTTCCTTTTTTCTCCAGCCCAGCCCGCACCATGATCATCGTTGCTTCTCAACGGGTCTGATTTGTTTTTCGCAGGCAGGAGCCTAGCCTAGCCTGGCCTCGCCTGCCTTGGCCTGCCCGTTAGCCACATAAGGTAGCTCTTGCCTGTCTGCTTAACTGGCAAAATGTGTCTTGGTAGTCGGGTGCCACTAATACTAAGCAATGCCTCTCGTTCCTTCCGTCTGACGTGCCTTTCTTCCTCTTCTTCTGTGATCGTGTTGCTCTGTCAGTACACCTCCCTAGAAACTCTACTCAACTCTGTCTCTCTCGTCCATCCCAACTCTCACCTCGTCCGTCGCTATCGTATTGCGCGTTCCCCAATCACCAGCCCATCCGACGGCCAGCCTCCCTTGTCCTCGACATCAGCACACCACACCACCCTCTCGCCGTCCATCCAGTCTCAGTACCGTTCCTTTGGTTGCCAGCCCGCGCGGCCTCTGCATTCCCTCACGCGAAACTCGCCGGCACAATTCCAGTCCAGAGCTTCGAGACAGCCATCTTCCCTCCATCGCCGCTGCGACTCCACGCAATCCTCCCACGCACATAATCCAGTTCGAACACCCGACGTTCTCCTTCAGCCGCGATACCCCCGGCAGGGCCACACTTTAAGCTCAGAACGCTGCGACGCACCCCTCCCTCATCGGCGCGATCCTGACCCCCTCTGCTTCGCCCTCGACCGCAGAGACCAGCGCCCAGTCCAAGTGCCATCGCGCACCGCTGCCCGCCGCCCGTACTGCTACGCAACACAGAGCACCCCGTCGCCGATTGTCACGTCGCATCAGGCCGCAGTCTTGATATTGTACGGTACACACAAGTCCCAAGGCCAAGCCAAGCGCTAGCCTGTCTAATCCGCCGCGAGGGCCCAGCACCAGCACTCCGTCTGGCATCTGCCTTGCAAAACAGCTCTGCCGTTCCACCCCGAACAGCAAGGGCGCCCTAAACTGATTCACGACCCGCATTCCGGAGTACCTCTCTGTGTGGTGCGTGTCGTTGTCGAGAAGGGTCACGGCAGCATCCCGACCCCATCCGGCCAATAATAGCAACACAGGATTTGACCAGGGGATCAAATAATACCGTTTCCGTTAAGTAGCTCAGCAATGCCGCCTCTGTCATCTTCGCCGCCTCCAATTCTCGCCATCACGGCCACTTTTGTACAGCTGCTTGTCCAACATCTGCCAAGACCAATCCGCGAGGTCCTGCAAAAGGCTCACCACCACATTTCCCGCTTCTTCGCAGCAGTCGCCACCTCCGCCATCGTCGTCCGCCTGCAATCGCTGATCCCGCCCAAGATGCACCGCCCTCTGGGCTTCTCGGCTGCAATCGTCGCCCTGTTTCTCATGTTCGGCTTGCCCGTCATCCTCGCGCAGAGCCAGCCGTTCCACTGCTACCCATACCCGCCCACCGACCAGCTCGCGAGCCCCTTCATCACGCTGCAGCCGCACTGCTGTAAAGGCACAATTGACAACAAGCTGAGAGTTGGAACGAAATGCGAACCGGCGAACGGAGGAAAATACAAGACCAAGTTTGGACAGGATCTGGGCACATGCGCGACGGGATGGACGGATGCGTGTTGTATGCGCCTGGTACGTGGACATCAGACCGGGATCGAGGGCGAAATTACTGACGAAATATCTAGCATTACCCGCCTGAGATTGCACGCCCAGACATGTCGTACTGCGACGCGGGGTTCCTCGTCAAAGCCGAGTCAAAAAATATCATCGACGCCCGCAGTTGGAGCCCGAACAAGTACGGAATCTGATGAACGAACGCGGGTGAAATCATCGCGATTCCGGATGATGCAAGAACACATATTTTCGATCTCTCACTTCGGTGATGAGAAACGATGCGGAAGGGTTAGCCGAATTGAAACGACGGTCCACGAGGGACCCCAGGATCGTAGGCGTGGGTCGCCAGAAACCCAGCGAGTCAGGGATTCATATCCACCTCGACAGCGACCTGGGGGAATCGAGGGGTTTAGGGACTGCTCCAGACTTTTCCGAGCGGCGGTGCTGGCTGACGAACGGAGGCCGCCTTTTCACATTTCCCAAACACTACGACGTACCACCTACTACCATGCACGACTAGCGAAGCAGAGGCATTTGGCGTTTTGCGGGCAACCATGGAGCGATGTTACGATGGCACGATGGTCACGATCGCCCTTGTTCGAAACGAGAAGAGGAAAAGAAGGGCATTCGCATATTATACCCAGGCGATTGAATTTGTTTGCTTTTTCCCTTTGGGATGTGCCTGCATCTCATTCTGTACAACACAGGCGGGGTCCGGTTTCTTGAGACGAGGGGAAGCAAAGGGACTGCGTCACAAAACACCGACGACACTTTGGGGTCGGACTCGATGGACGTGGGTCATTGTGAGTTCATTTTGACTGTATTATTAGCCACCTCTCGTCAGGTCTTTTATCAATCCGATGTCCGCATGCCGGAAACATCGCAATTCACGTCCTATTGGATATCTCAACATTTCCGCCTCTGATCGTGCGGATAACATCAATGACCGATGACCTCGATGACGCGGTCATGGCGCAGACAGGTCAGGCTGTATGGAGGCACGCGACCTGATGACGAACGAGTCAGCTCAGCGCGCTCATCTTTCAGCGCACGAGTAGGAGGTCATTGCTGGAATGATGAGTCGACGGGTGATGGAGATTGGCTGGGTTCGGTTGAGCTGGCCCGACCGTCGCCCGCTGCTTGCCGTTCAAGCCCGACCGAACTCTCACGGGGCGGGAGGCGAGGTTCTTAAGAGTCGTTCGGCTTGCACGTGTATTTGCCTCGCATCGCCAGGTGAGGGGTCATTCAGTGGCTGGCCTCCGGAAAAGACACCGAGATGGGGCCCCTCGGTGGCCACGGCAGACGGTAGACGGCAGACGGAACCCGGGTCCTTCGGTCGGCTCGGTCGGTCATGTCACGCCAGCCTTGTGGGCGAGAAAACCTTATGAGGGCGGGAGGTCGATAAACCAAACATCGGAGGGCTGTTAAGGGGCCTCATGCTGTCTGGTAGGGGCCCTGGCTTCGTCCGCCGGCGAGAAGACCGCGAGAGAGAGCGCACCGCGTGCCGGAGAGCCGGAGGTTTCCGGGCGAAGGCCGCACTGACCGCCCCGTCCCGTGAGGGAGCTTCTCGGATAAACTGTGGAGCAGACAACGCGGAGGGCAGGTGGTAAAGTTTCTCCCGTTTCACCTGTTCCTTTCGGGACACCCCAGACTCGCCGAGGGGGAACTGTCGCTCAATTCAGTCAAAACTTCCTACGCGCAAAGCCCTGGATTCTGGTCTGTTACTGGATCATACGGCACCTCTCAACGAAACTCTTCTGGAGCGCGACAATGTGTTGTTGTCTTTTCAGCATCTTCAATGGCTGATCGAGTGATTCTTTTACGCTCATCACCCGTTCCCTGCTAGTTGCAGATCTCCCCGCGTTCCTCTGCGCCGGGTCACATATGTTTCCACCAGCAACGGAGTTATGTGCTCGTGGTATAGTACCTCTCCGGCTGCTGCTACCCACTGCTCCAAACCAAACTTCAGACCGAAAAAAAAGGGGGGAACAGAACGAACAACAGCCGCATCTTTCGAAACCGGGGTCTGTGACATTCTGTCACACAGCCGCCACACGCGGCAGTTTCACCGTGCCCCAAGCAGCTAGCCAACGAACCAATGGGGCGCCCGCCTGTGGTGCCTCGCAACCTTTAATCCCACTTCAACGCAGCTCCCAGCGCCGCAAGGCACGCCCGAAGAGACGAAAAGAGAGAAACTCACCACGCTGTGGTACATCCAACCACCGCCCAAACACCACCGTTACCGCAGGTCACATCGCGCCAGCCTCATATCCACGGTCGCCCCGACCGACCTGCTTCTGAAACTCGTCCGGGCTTTGCTTTCAGCGAACATTAGAGACGCCTTGCTACCCGTGCCTCCCATAAGGCTTAACCTGTGCTTGGCGGCCTACTTGTCTTGCAGGCACAGGCAAGGCACAGGCAGGCACAAGCAGCGCCCGTTCTACCTAGCGTTGGGCCCTGTTCACGCATTGTGCTTTCTCACTCTGGCGTTGAGTCCTTCGCCCCTCCTCCCAGGTGCCCCCTTCGTATTGGGATGAAGAGTCCCGACAGACGGAAACGCAAGACACGACAACACAGACAGCCGACGACAGACAGCGGGCAACCAGCGGCTGAAAGACAGAGACAGCTCAGACAGGCACAAGGAACGCCGAGGTGACAGGAGACAAGCAGCAGACAGCTCGGCAACGCAGATCTGGCAGCGCTCACTGTCTCCGCGGTCGCCCCTTCCCCGCTTGCGCTCGTCCTCTTTTCGGATTGCTGTTCTTTTGCCCTTCTTTTGCCCCGTTCCTGGCCTGGTTATTTTCCCACCTTCCCACCACCCCCTTCCCTCTCTTATATTATGCCCGAACCAGTGATCGTCCCGCGGGTGGGAAACAAGGCCTCCCCCTCCTCTCGTTCCTGAAAGATTTCCTGAACGGGTGTCTGGTCGGTCCTCTTTTGTTCGCTTCTTACTGGGCGGCTCTTATTGCCTCCGTCCCCCTTGTTCTTAAACTTCTCTTATTCGTTTCCCCTGGACTGGATCCAGTAAGAAGGACTGGTTAATCATACACGCAACACATAGACACACACATCCACGTCGCTTCCCGCTCTTCCCAAACGTCAGGTTCATGCGAAAGTCGTTCGGCAGTACAGCGAGACGTTCGGCTTGTGTGCTTTTCAAGGAGGGATAGCAGATCTGCGTACGGACACTTGTTGCCACCGAGCCGGCCCTTTCGACTAGTGGCCCTGCTCCCCCATTCTCCGCTTCTTTTGTGTTTTCGCCTCAATATACTCGCAACAAGCGCGCTTCTGTTGATAAGTCTAATCGAACGATCGACAAACACCCCGACATCGATCCTTATTGATTGCCACTAAGGGCGGCTCTGTGGAAACAAAACACTATACCACACACGGCCGCACCCGAGCATCACATCATCAAGCTCATACAACACACATACCTGGCCCTGGGCATAGTAACACCACGCCATCACAGCGGCCTAGGGCGACGATGAACATCCGGTGACGGCAGGCCACCACGCCTCCACCCTCCGCCCGACCGGCTTGCCCGTCGATCCCAAGACCGATTACCACTTCATCCACGAAGCAGAACGAAAGACAGCCTGTTTTCTGCTGATACATGGACTCAGACGCGAGGGCCAGGGCCAACGTGCCCCGCAAAGGACCCAAGCAGAGCACCAACGGAATGGATTCGTATCACCGCTACGTCGCCGAGTCGACCATCACGAGAGGCGACGATGTTATTGCGAGGCCGTACACGAGCCACTCGCGGTCGTTCAGCACGCCCCGTCCCTCGACGCTGGACCACTCCTCTTCTTCCGGCAGCGAGTATGAGTTTTCGAGCAGCGATGGAGATGCCAGCAGGGCGACGACGGCGGTGCCCGAGATTATGATTACGAGCCCGAGTAAACCGCCCACGCCGGGGCCGAGGTACAGTCTGACGCCCCGCCAGTCGCAGTTCCCGCCAGCTGCGAGGTTAGCTGTGCCCGCGATGCGACCAATCCCGCAGGGCCAGCCGCTGCAGACCTTCCCCCCGCTAAACCCGTCATTACAACCGTCACAACCGATCCGACAGATGCTGCAGCCGATGATAAGGATACCGCCGCCGACGGGCGACTCGGATGATTTGAGGAAACGGGATGGGTTGATGGACGTCTCGTTACCGTACCGCCCGTTCTACCTGCAACGGAGGATACTGAGCTCGTTTGCGATTTTGTTCGCGGGGTTGTTGATCACAGTAGAGGCGGTGCTGGACCTGTCCAACAAGAGGGGTGGCCTCGGCTCCCCAGACCACGGGTTCAGGTACCTGTGGCAGTACGGCTCCGCCTTCATCTTCACATGCATCGCGGCGTTGTGGGCGCGGCCGGAGCACCAGGCCAAAGCCAACGCGCCGTGGATCCGTATGTCCAAGGGCCCCGCGAGCGTCGACCGGACGCTGATGCTGGACTACGTCTTTATGTTCGAGCCGTGGGCGGTCGCGAAGGCTGCGAAGAACCGGGACTGGCTTGTAGCGGCGGCCGCGTCTGTCGGATTGACGCTGAAGTTGATTATTGTGATTGCTGTGGCGCTCGTCAGCCCGACGTTTCAGATCGTTACGGCGCGAGGGGCGAGTTTGAATGTGCTGAACGCTTTCACGAACGATCCAAGTAACCTGCGGGCGGCTGGGGCGCTGCCGTTCTTCACCATGGTGGGGTTGCAGACCAAGGGGCTGAACTTCCCGGACGGCACGTCGAGGGAGTTTGCATTCCAGTCGTTCACGTCGGATTTCAAGTCTACGGCCGAGTTGAGGGCTGACGTGGACGGGTTCGAGTCGGACATCCTGTGCGAGCCGGCGCAGCTGAATCTGACAGGGATTCAGTACATCCAGGCGTCGGATACGCAGCTGAATGTCACGGTGTCGACTTCCAACTGCTCCATAACGCAGGAGATCCCGAACATGGTACTCGTGGGGTTTACGCTGCCGACCTTCTTCACGGCGTTCCAAGCTGGTGCGTGCGGGAACTCGCAGAACATGGACGACGGACGGGTTGTGGTCATGTCGGGCGCCATCACGATTGACGCCGCCAGTGTTCCGACGTCTAGCGAGGTCTTTAACGTGCCCATCCGAGGCCAGCTGACGCGCTCTGCGGCGCTGATTTGCCGACCGACGTATGCTATCACGACTGTCCACGTCGAGAAGAACAATACCCAACTTATGAAGATCGAGCGCACCCGGTCTGCGAAGAACAGGACATTGAACTTGGTCAGCCCGATGGACATCGTACAGGGCCATTTCGCGTCATATCCCACCGACTCCCAGATCCTAGGCGCCATGCCGAGTGTGAACAGCCGTTACCCCGGTGTCGCGATCGTCGCCTCCGACGCGGTGATGAACTCGGCCGTGGCGATGGAAGTCAAGGACAACGGCGTCCCCCCAATCGACAGCCTCCTGCAGGCGAGCAACCTCACCCAGATCGTCACAAAATACTGGCGCCAGTACACTGCCCTCCTGGCACGTAACTCGTTAATGGCAGACACAGCGCAGCCGCAACGAATCACGGGAACGGCGGTCATCATCGGCGAGCGCCTCAACGTGCGCCCCATCCCTGCGCACCTCCTCTCCGGCCTGCTCGGTTTCGCGTTGGTCCTCACCCTAGCCGCCGTCGCTTTCGCCCCGAGGACGGGGTTCCTGCCCCGCGACCCGAACACCATCATCAACATGGCGACGCTCCTTGCGCACAGCAGGTCGCTGCTGCAGTGCCTGCGCGGAACTGGCGCGGCGCACGTGTCTACTATCAGGGAGAGGCTGCTGGGTACGAATTACTACACCGGCGTGGAGCCGTACGAGAAGGCGTCCAAGGGGCAGGGGTATTTCAAGATCTTTGGGGGCAACCCGCCACGGCAGGATACGCCGCCTGAGTTCGTCAAGACGTCGAACTGGGGTCATCCTATGCCTTTGCACCCCGTGGCAAGGCTGATTGCGGTGTCTACTATGGCGGGCATGATTATCTCGCTGGAGGTTGTGCTCAGGTTGTCCGAGGCGAGGCAGGGCATTACGACTGTCACGGCGAATACCGACCGCCACTTCTTGTGGACGACTGGACCGGGAGTGTTGTTCGGTATCGTGGCGCTGTACCTCGCGTCTGCCGACTGCGCGACGCGGTGTCTTGCGCCGTATACTCAGCTTAAGCAGGGTGGCTCCTTCGAGACGACTGTTGGTCTTGACTTCATGGACAAGTCCAAACCCCGGATTGTCTACGATGCTGTGAAGACGAAGAACATCGCAGTTGTGATCACCACCACCGCCGTCTTCATCGCCTCGCTGCTGGCAACATTCTCCGGAGCTCTGTATACTACCGTACCCATCCCGTCCACGCGCCCAGTCACTCTGCAAAAGATCGATCAGTTCATCAACGCCACCGCGCCATGTAACACCTGTACTACAGACACACTTCTTGCGTCTCTCATCCTTGACGCCAATCTGACCTTCCCGTCATTCACCTTTGAAGACCTCAACTTCAATGGCGTACGGCTCACGGAACCGCTGTCGATGAAGGACGGCGACAGCACCATCCTCGTCACGCTCCCAGCCCTCCGGTCGAGACTGGACTGCAGGCTCTATCCGCAATCCGAAATCAACACCAACTTTACGATACCGAACGTGCCCAACCAATTCTCCGTAGCGCAGGGCATGCGCGTAGATATCGCAGGCGAACCCTGCAACGACCCCTCCATCCGCTCCAACGCCGTCCTACCCTCCGGAGTCTCCCCGTCTTCCGTGTTCGGAGTCGCCACACCTCGCTCCGCGGGTCCCTCCAGCCAGTGCTCCGACTTCACCTACGTATGGGGCCAACTCGCCGACACAACCCCCACGCAGGTCGGTTATATCTCCGCCATGGGCTGCAACGAAACCGTCGAGACCCTCATGGCCACCGTCCGCCTCACCGGCTCAAGTCTCCACGTAGACCCAACCTACCCGCCCCGCGTGCAAGAAAACACCGTCCGCCGCACGCAGCTCAAGCTCCTCCCGCTCCAATACGGTCTGCTCGCCAACCTCACCACCGGCAACCAGCTCGACCCTTTCTTCAGCTCCCTCGTCACCTCCCGCTTCGCCATCCCGGCCGGCAACCTCGGCGACCCAGGCCTCGCGCGCAGCGGCCGCGTCGCCGACGCCATCGTCCGCCAGCACGGCATCGTGCGCGCGCAGAACCTCAACGTCAACTCCCGCCGCAGACTACCCGACATCACCGCGCAGGAGGTCGTCCCCGGCATGCTCGAGGACACGGACGTGACCAGCCTGCGCCGGCTCGTCCAGGACAACGCCTCCACGCGGATCATCCAGTCCATCCTTGCCCTCCTCCTCGCGCTGACGCTCGTCGCGTGGCTGCTCACCCCCGGCACGGACACGCTGCTCCCGCGCAACCCGTGCAGCATCGCCTCCGTGGCGGCGCTCCTCGTCGACGGGAACGTGTTCGGGTTCTTGGGCAGGGGCGCGGAGTGGATGCCCACCGAGGAGATCCAGACGAGCTTCCTGGACGGGAGCAAGGCGATGGGGTTCCGGATGAGCTGGGAGCGCGTGAAGCGCCGGCGCACGGAGCTGGTGGAGCGGGCGGATGTTGCGCAGGAGAGGGCGTTTGGGATCAGCGTGAAGCGCGCGGGTGGATGGGGCGGCGGGGAGGATGTGGGCTTGGGGATTTTGGCAAGGGTGAATCGCGCGCAGAGGGGGTTTGTGAAGGGTTGGGGAAGGATGTCGACTTGATTCTCCGAATGGCATCTCAGAAAGAAGGTCATTTGTTCTTTGTATTATCTACACTGTATTTATCACGGGACGCAAGCGTTGCGTATTGTATAGCTTGGAGTTCTAGGATGGGCCAGAGAGGTTGGTGGCCGGAGTTTTTTCTTTTGTTCTTTTACACACTTGGGTATGATACCACAAACTGGGGGACACTGAACCAGGGAGTTGATCTCAAATCTTGTTTTTGGGGTGTTTAGGGTAGGATAACTCGAAATGATAAGATATGAAGTTACTATCATAAGGTAGATTGAGGTTGTGGGAAATATGAGCTGATCATGTTCTCGCTTTCGGGAAAAGAGAGAGTGGTTTGTGGCGGTCGGGTTCGCGACCGGCTGGGTCGGGAATGGTGGTTTTCGACTGGGTGTAGTTGCAACTTGAAAGTTGGCCATTTCGTTCATCGTACGATCAAACATGTTGAATCGGTGTCGGTCCCGCGAACCGGGAATGGTTCTAAACTTTGTTCATTCAAGGGGTTCGGGATGACTTAGATTTGGATCACGAATGATACTGGCAAAACTTGACAGGGGGAAGTTTAGTCAAGAGCAGGTGCTCGTCGGTTTCGGGGTCAAAAGACGTTCGCGAAGAGACATGGTGGGATGTCGGTATCGGTGAGAGACTTGAAAGTCAAGTCGAAGTCTTTCATGGGCATCGCTATCGGACTCTGGGGATTGTGGAAATGAGTCTGGAATGTCAAGACTGGATGAACGCCGGCAGGGTCGGAGGAGGTGATCCCTGCCACTCAATATTGACGAGCTGCAGGTGAGCTTCACAGCCCAGGTCGTCATCTACAAGGTTGAGAAGTTGGATCGCTATCGGGCTCGGGAAAAAGGTAATGGCAAACGGGGTAGGTCGCAAGCAATAAGGAGAAAATCGTCTCCTACAAAGTAATAGTATGCACACTGATATTACCTCATCGCTATCGGGCTCGGAAGTCAAGATATTCCACGACTACAGCAACATCGGAGTCGGACTTAACCAAGACTTTTAGAGTTAACCTAGCCACTTTGTCCAGCCCGTCCCGCCGTGGCGGTGTTCACCACAAGCCGGCGCTACAAGTCGGCCGCTTGAACAAGGTACCACCCTTGCACCTGGACCGTATGATCTACGTCACCCGCAAGGCCACAACCGGGTGCCGGCCTCCATCGGGCCCGGAGGATTAAGAGGCAAACTTTAGATCGGGTTGCCGGATCGGAGAAGTCTTGGACGATTGATGCTTGGTTTGGGCGGCATGAGGTGGCACGTCCTTAGCCAAGGCCGGCTGTGAAGAGATGTGGGCTTGAGTCGTTGGCCTTTTGCCAAGATGTTTTGGTACTTCTGGGGCGAGGCAGAATTTCTGGTCAACAGAGTCGCTGCACTGAACGGTGGCAAAGGATGGGGTTTACTGGAGAAAGAAGAATGCTCGCTTGAATATTTGGATATCATATTTTTGAAGGAGGCACAATGCCTAAATGGGTTACGCTGCTCCTCCCGTGTATTGTCATGATCATCTCTAGTGTGTAGTTGCCATGAGGCTTTTCTTCATCCGAAGTTCCAAAAACAGAAGTGAAATGCCAAAGCGCCAGTGTGTCCCGTCTTCGCCGCACCGAATGTCTCAAAAGGTGGTGCCCCAAACGCCGTGTCTTTAGATAGAAACTGTGGTCTGTGTGAGGCAGTTGAGTCAGCAAGAACTCTTTGCTCTCGTGCAGTCGGATGTGAGATCATTGATGGGAGAAAGACTTACCCAAGAAGGACTTGAACCAGATGTAAATGGCTGGATGCGTTTAGCCAACGGAGCAGGTGCAGCCCTTGCGCTTCTCGAGGTCGACGCTGGGGAAGGGCACGCAGATCATGCCGTCGGCCTCGCAGTTGGTGCGGGCGGTGCCGCACTCGACGTCCACGCAGGGCCCGTCGAAGCGGGCGGCGACCGTGGCGGCGAGGAGAGTGATGAGGGTGTAGACGGCGCGCATGGTGACTTGACTTTATGTGATGTCGAATAGCAGTTGTAGAGAAGGTTGGGAAAAGTTTGGATGATGGAGTGGGAGTGTTCGCGGGTGGATGTGCGGGATGAGGAGGATGGGATGGCAAGAAGGAGGGATGGAATGATGCTTCTTATACAAGTTCACGACAAGACGCAAAGCAGAAAGATGGAGAACTCGAGAAAGAAGGTTTGGAAACATTGGCAGGTGCCGGATGGTCAGTTGACACTCCGCCACCGTCCTCTTCTCTTTCTCTCTCGGTATGTGTGGATGGGTATCGACTCCATGTCGATACCAAGAGTTGGCTCCGTTGGAGTTGGTTACAGGGAGGATGCTATTTCGATGGCTTGCGGAGCTGTACATGGGTAGAGGAGAGGAGAACAACACTGCCGCCTAGACCGTGAGGATTGAGTGGGATAGCTGTACAGAGATGGGTGGCCTGGCTGGTCTGTGTCTTGGCTGGGCGAGGTGCTTGGGCGGCGGTGAGCCCGATAGGCAACCGATAGGGGGAAGAACCAGTACAGACGAAAGTGTGGCTCAGGAAGAAAAAAGTCTTGGACAAAGACGGCGCGTCTTGGCGCGTACGCAGTTGTGTTTGGGGCTATTAAAAGCCATCGAGTATAGGAGCTTGATCATGCTCTTGGCGATGGGAGGCGTTTCAATCCGTTCTTGGCGGGAAGGGTGGGGGGATGGTCGTTGTTCTTCACAACGGTGCAATGAGGCGGGCTCTCTACGGGCAATTTTGGAGCCTGTTAGGACCGGGGTTGGGGGTTTTAGGGGCGCTGTAAAGAGCTTGTAGGGCGCGGGTGCGGTCATCGTTCCGGACGCGATTCATGCGTTGCCCGGCGGGATGAGTTCAGCTAGTATGAACAAGCCTCACTTTGTCATGACACTGAGAGATTGCACGGTTATTTACAGCATGTTGGGTGGGTGTACTGGGCAGAAATGTGTAAGATGATGGGCAGTTGAGACTGAGCCGTAGAGACGTGCGAGATTAGATTAGATGGCGCGGAGCTGTCCGTCGTGATGAGTGATCGGGGCCGGCTTCATGTGGCAGTGACTGATCGACGCTGCAGCGATGTGCCGGATGGGACGCAAGCGACAGCTGAGGATGAGGCGAGACGATTCCTATTATGGAAGTTTACTGTGTAGTAGGTTTCTAGTTTAATTTTAAATGCCTGCATAGCTGGCAGTGTTCATTCGATGATGGGTGACACCTGTGGCCCGTTCATCGTGACATGACCGGAGGATTCTCACCACAAGCGATCAAAGTAGTCACTCTTCTCCGACTGTCGTGTGCTCTCCTGCCAGATTCTGCGAGCGTGGGTCCAGTTCGACTGCCTGACTACGAGATTGATATTGCCCACTCTAAAACAAGCTTCAATAGATCTCCGGTCGAGAGCTTACAGCCCGCCCTAATATACCGCTGGCGCTCGGCCCAAGTCTTCGGCGCCGCTGTCTCACCCATATTGCGTCCTCCTGCGATCTCACTGCCGTCCCATCGAGGGGTTTAGTAGAGTCATGGTGTTCCCTGATATTTGGTATTCTGTACGGCCGCCTTTACGATTTAGATCTAAGATAATGTAGCCCCGCGACTTGGCGGTATGCCTTTTGTAAAGCGTGTGCTTCTCTCCTGTAGGACGCTGTTGGCAACTCCTGTGACGTATCCCCCAAGACTTCCAAGAAACTCTCTCCTTCCAATACCTGTCCCCCAAGTCCTGCGCCGCGTAAGCACGATCACCGCCACTCTTTGGTGTGCGGAGCGTTGGTTTACAACCCTCTCATCTGTTGGTTGGTCGAGGGTAAAAAAAGCATGAATTCGCCCGATGAAATTCGCGTAAGGACCCCCATCACCACGAGGCATGCCAGGGCCTAGAAGAGTGATCCCCACCTTGGAAGAAAAAGTAACTCCTTCATTACTCGCCAACATCAACATGTTCGTCTGGACGTCGCCTCAGCAATGACCACGTCCGTCTCAAATTCAGCGAGGGATTCATTGCTTTGTACCTTCTTCGAGTACAGGCTAGCGGAACCCTCCGTCTTCACATCCAGCCTTAAACTACGACATATCAAGTGGCTAGACCTCAGTGGGGTCTCCGGAAGGGATGGGCCTCTGTGTTGAGGACGTACTCATCGAGGCTGATGAGGTCAGGCGGCGAGAAGACGAGGTAGAAGTACTTCAACGTCTCCGCAAGCCAGAAACTCTATTTTTCGTCGGTCAGTAAGTCCACCTCTGTTGAACATTGTCTGTAGGGGATGATGAGTTTTTCCTTACCTCCATGTAGTCCTCCTTGGGCAGCGGGTCCGCCTTCTTCGTGACATCCAGCACCGCTGCATTCCCATGCTCCACGAGCGTCCCGTTGCTAACGGCCTTCCACATCTCCCACGCCGCGTCCTGGAAGCCCCGGTCGCCCGTGATGCGGTACAGCACAAAGACGCTCTCAATGGCTTCCGGGCGCAGAATGTACCGCGCATCCTTGGCGGTGGTGAAGCCCTTGGGGAGGTGCTCCTTGAACTCGGGCCGCAGCCTCTTCTCTTTCTCCCACCGGTCCTCGTCCCACTTGCAATCGTCCCTGCGCGGGCACGCGAGCATGTTGAAGCGTTCCGGCATCATGCCCGTCGGCATGGCCTGGTACGCGTAGTAGCATCCCAGCGTGAGTCGCGCCCCGATCGTCACCCATTCCTCCTTGCCGAGTAATCTCCCGGCCAGGGCGTAGATGCCGCCGATAAAACAGGCTAAATGCTCGCTCTCCGGGTCGAGGAACAGTTTTCCGTCAATGTCGACGTTGGCGTTGCCCGAGATGAGGATGTTCTCGTTGCCCGGAAGCATGGGCCGGAAGAAAAGGGACTCGTTGGCAGCCTTGAGAAAAGCCTCCGTCATGTCCTCGTACATGGGTTCCAGCCCGCCGAGGAGCGCTTGCATCTTGGGGAGGTACTCGTACAGCGAGTCTGCGCAGCCAGCGATGGTGAACTGCGAGCCCGAAACGACGTCGCGATTCCTCATGGACACGAACATGGGCCACATGCCCGGGATCTTGGTCTTCTTCTGGCCCTCGTGGAAGAGGTCCATGACTTTAGACATGGCGTCGTAGTACTTTGGGTTGCCCGTAAGCTGCGACAAGCGCGTCATCTCTAGTGAGAGCGTCCCGGGCGACGCTGAGACGACAGAGCTCTCTACATCCAAGCCGGTTCCTGCTTTCGCGTCGTTAAAGTTGATGAAGTCCACGGGCATGCGATGCTCGGTATTGAACGCGCCGTAAAGCAGGTCGCCAAGCTGAACAGCCTTATCGAGCAAGACCTTCCTCTTACTGAGGTCATAAGCGGCCATCAAGCCGCCGAGATACCGAATATTAGTCTCAAACGTGTTCACGCGGTCCGAATTCGTGAATCCAAAGTCAATCGTCGCAACAGCAGCGACAGCCTCCTCAAACTCCGCCTTCAGTCCCATGATCCAAAGCACGTCGAGCGAGTCCACCAGCGTCGCGGCCCACCCGGAAAACTGGTCCTTGGCGGTCGCGGAGATGGGGTTGAGCGCGTCCTTCATCCAGGCGTACTTTTTGTAGTTCGCCCAGTCGCGCCTGAACAGCTCGCGGACCTCGTGCCGGCGGGCCTCCCGGAGCCGGGCGGCGGCGGCGGACTCGGCGGGGAACTGGTGCTGCACGCGCGGGAGGGAGGGGCGGCGGCCCTTGGGCAGCGGGGTCATCGGCGTCTTGGGAGGGTATTTGTACGACACCGAGGACCAGTCGAAGCTGGACTGTGGGGTGGCCGGGGGAGGGGCGATGTTGTGCAGGTTCATGTAGCGCTCGAGGGCGGCGGACTCGGAGCGGGCCCATGATGTGTAGAAGTAGTAGAGGAGGCAGCCGCCGAAGGTAAGGGTGATGGCGAGGGTGCGGACGCGGGTCCAGCGGTACATTGCCGTCATGTTGGAGAAGATTAGGAATGAGGTACTGGGTATCTGATGATGATGAAAAATTGCAGTCGTTTGAAGGCGATGGTGAGCCAAGGGAGAGGGATCTAAGGTCGAGTCATGGGAGTCGATGAAGCGAGATGCCGCAAGGTGAGTATGATTCCTAAAACGACGCGACAAGATGAAGTGAATGAGATGTGGTCGATAGCTGGTGATGCTGCTTCAGCGATGAGATGTCGTTGTCGTCGGGTCAAGGCGTATCTATCATCCAGAGCGAGAGCTTCCGAGGTTGTGAGGTCGGGAAGAGATGACCAGCGTGTTAACAAACGCGCAAAGAACAGCCGCCGGCCGGCGGTAGCATCGGGGGTTCTGGAACAACGTTTTTGTGAATATGAGACATGGAGGGCAAAGTCAAATCCCAGTCGGGAAATCCTGGGGCCACCGCCAGGCTACTTCTGCGAACCATGCCCATCCCTGCCAAGACAATTCTGTCCATCGCATAGTGGTTAGCGAGGCGCTCGGCAGGGTCAATAGACATGTTTGGCTGCTGTTGGCGACCAGTCTTGGGGCTGAACCAACGCTTGCTGGCGCGCCTTTTGTGGAATGGAAAGGGGGCCGATGCGACGGGACGGGTTGCATGCCCTTGCTTGGAGCGGAGTTGCCAAGAGTTGTTATGTCTAGAGATGAAGGGGCCTTCAGAGAAGTGACAGCGCTTGCTGATTGAGATGGGATTGATAAGACACTGTCTTCTTCATGGTGAGCATGCCGCGATTGATGTTTCTATTGAAGACAAGTGTTGCTCGGGTTCGGGTGCATTTTAGCTTTTTGGAGAAGCGACCGAGGAGACATCCGGACCCCCAACACTCTAATTTTATAGTTATCCACAGTGGGGGTCTGGGTAACAAACACATTGCTGCCCCCTGATGATCGGTACCGTGTTCCGTCACTAGCGGCTAAGCGAGGTTATCTACGCTTTGGATTTGGTGTATGTGCTGACTGGATGCAGATGTGCCAAGAGTTGTTATGTCTGTAGACGAAGAGTTCTTGGAAAAGTGACAGCGCTTGCTGATTGAGAAAGGATTAATAAGATATCAAATGCTCTTTCAGTAAGAAAGGATACATCCCATGGAGTGCAACTGGACTGCAGGACTTAGACCTCCAGTCTTTCTCGAATTCTGATGAACCACAAAAATTGTTATTCGCTGGACACAGGTGACGATATCTCTGCGTGTGAGTTCATTGGATGTTGCCCCGCACGCCTTCAGTCCAGTCGCACTCGATGGGATAGCATAGTACCTGCAAAGCAAAAGTCAGCCGTAGGCCTAGACACCAGCCTACTTTCAAGGAGCAAGCCATAAGTGCGAAGCACCAGTGATGCGGCGTAATATGTGTACTGTACCTGGCTAACGACATATTCTACGGGCAATAATGCTTGCCGTGAAGTGGCTTTGATGGAATGCCATCCCGTCAGCCAACGTCAAGGGCGGTATGCATAGCCACCGCTTATCGTACGCCTATAACTATAATTGAGAGCCACTTTCGGTCGTCAGGTCGGGAGGGAAGAAGTTGCTCCATCCATGCAGGAAAATGCCCATACCTTGACGTACCTCTTGATAGCAGAGAGCTTTGCGAAAGCCAAGGATGGATAACATAGGTCACGATATGGACATTGGCCTCGCGCTGAGTTCGCCGAGAGCGACGGTTGAGTTTAGATGACACCAGCCATCACGCATGAAGGTGGTCCATCAGCATCGATTCCACTAAACAGGTACTATGCTGGAAGAAGGTCAAGAACCGTAAATCTACGTTGGAAGTTATCCTGGGCCTTGCAAGAGAGGCCGCAGGCGTAGCCTTTAGCACTTAATCGAATGAATTTCGTCATGAATCGAGTCACAAACTGATACTCTATGGGGATAATGTTGGACCTTTTTCAGTGGTAAACTGAACAGCAGGGCTCAAATGATTGTCTATGCAGTCGCCATCTGATGTAACTTTTTGAAATGTCCAAACGACCCAAGCAGCCACGCCCCTCGCCACCCAATCTCCTGTCACGTTCCGACTTGTGCTGACATCCGGCTGCAGAGCCCATCCTATAGCAGGGCAGCGATGATAAGTCTTGAGTGCCTGTTCATATTGAACTCTGGTGCGATTTACTATAACATCGTTAGCTTCCTACTACAACAGAGAACTGGAAAATACACACAATGCATCGGTCCCGTCCCGAGTACGAGGCCGGTGAAATGCAGTTCGAAGCACCATTAGCATTGCAGGATAGCCTGTCTCCATTGGCGCTAAGGCTGTAGACAGCAGTCTTACAGACCTCGTCGCATGTCTTGCCGTTAGCGTGCGCTACACAGCAGTGGCTGCCATCGGATTTCTGGCATTGGCAGTAGTCGCACGCTTGCGCCATAGCGACGGTGACGGCGAGGAAGGAAACGAGGGATGTGATCTTCATTTTGAGTAAACTGAGAAGGCCGAGGGAAAATATGTTGCATATCCAAAGCTGACTTAGGAGCAACGATTTGCCTCTTTATATACTTTTTATTGCCTGGCAAATCGCACGGCGTGAAGGTGTTTGCTCTTGGCTCCTTGGGAAGTAGCTCTTCGGCTTGGCCGTTGCTGTCTGACAAAAATCGCTCCTTTTTTCGCTTTCTTGGAGTATCGCGAGTAAGGGTCGAAATACTGTGTGCTCTCAGAGAGATGCCTTGTTGTTTTCTGTTGACGATTGATGTCCAAAAGAGTTCAGCTAATCAGGGAAACGCGTATCAGTGCCCTTTTTGTCCATTATCCCATCGGCTACGCCCTGAATTTTCATTTTCTTAGACCAATCGAATCGCCTATTCAATCCGGTTGCGATTATTAGTGGTATAGCAGGTTTGTTAAGTGCTATGTGGCAGCCGATGGGATAATTAAAAAAATACAGCGCCCACTCTTACTAACGAGTCATCAGTAGATTCATGCCAACGATATTCCGCAACTGTCAGTGAGTATCATAGAGACTTCAGAAAGACTAGCTGTTCACTTACGGTGGCTGCGATGAACTTACGGCTTGTCCATCCAGAATCGAGCGATTAGTGGTTGCTGTTCCTCAAAAGGATCATATGTCCTGGGGGCTCTGGAACAGAACACGATCTCAGAGCTGCGACCAACGTCGCCGAGGAACTACCAAGATAACGATGACAGCTATTGTGATGCGATGGAGAGATACACCTAGATTGTGAAGAATATCAAATGCGCATGGAGCGAGTAGGACATATACACCGTGGAGACTTGGAAAAAGGAGAACCCGCACCCCCTTGTTTGCAAGGGTCAGTCCAAGAGCGAACTAGATAGTCCAGCGTAACTTACAAGCAGTAATCTGCTATGCGAAAATATAGATAAAAGTAGGAAGGGAAGAAGTAGACAAGGGTGCTCGAATTCAAGTGCATTTTAGCTTTTTAGAGAAGCGCGCGAGGATACCTCGGGACCCCCGACGCTCTGATTTCATCCCATTGAATACAAGCACCAGAAACCCCCCGCGCGGGGTAGAGACATTGAACACATACACAGTGACGCTAAATTCTTTTTTTGTCCAAACAAAATATTCATCTTCTTTAATACTAGGGTAGAATTGGGGCATCTGAGAGACGTATCTTTTGGCGTCATGTAGTGTTCAATAGGATAGTCATCAACAGTGGGGTCTAGGTAGTAAACACACTGCTGCCCCCTGAGGATCGGTGCCGTGTTCCGTCGCCAGCGGCCGGTAAGCGAGGTCATCTATGCTTCGGATTGGATGAATATGCTGACTGGATGCAGATATTGTCAGATTTGGACTTGGCTTCTAGGTGAGACTCTTCTTTCAACGTCGATGCATGAGATGGATGCTTGGAGGGTGAGTGAATGGAAGACAGCGCGGTCGCACGAATGGGATTGGTTCAGCAAGACAGGAGGATGTGTCTTCGTCATTGAAGTCAATGACCAACTATCAGATTCGAAATGCTTGAAATAACGACGCGACGCAATCGTCTCAATGAATTACTCATCGTATCAAATCATCATCTTTTTCCCCCCCTGTGGCAGCTGGATGCCCGTTAATGGCTTGGTTCATGCCAGCATTTCTCCGTCCTCCTGTCAAGCAGACGCTGGACGCCGTTGTTGCACAGCATACGAGACATCGCCGTTAGGTACAGTGGTATCACCTAGCTCAGCCACCAGCATTTGAGGTGATATCATCGACAGCTAGCCTTATCTACTACCACCCCTCAATATCATCTCTCATTTGTGCGCTTCTTTGCGACCGGCTGCGGGGCTCTTTGCACCATCTTGTGGCCCCGAGATCGCATGAGTCGGCAGTTTCTTGTGCGCAATACTGTTCGTCATTCCCGCAATATCTTTCAAAGCCGCACATCATGGCGCCAAGATGCGGGCCGTCCAAGACGACATGCATGAGGGCTAAGACGCAATTCCTTCCCGTCCCAGGGACCCGGGCCTGGAAGCGAGGTGCCATCGACCCAGACAGAAGGACTTTGGTGAATCTCTATTACGTTGGGGAATATTCAAAATGATTACTACTGCATGCTCTCCATCGGCGGTGTCAACCTGCTGCATGCAAAGCAACGCATAGTAGAGCCGGAGGCGCATCTGGCTGCATCCGCTCCCGCTCCCGTTTCCGTGTACAGCCGGGAACTCGCATCAGCCATTAGCCACGGCGACCGCCATCCGCAAGAACCACATGTTCCCCTCCTCCATCATACCTAAAGCCCCGAAGCCCCTCCCCCTCCATACCCGCCTCCGGCATCGGCTCCCGCCCCGAAGTGTGGGGTCCCCAGGCGCGACTAGTCAACGGTGCCCCGCCGAAGCGACTGGAAGCTCTGTTGGCACTCTCAGAGTCGTGGGCTCGGAGCCATCAAAGCGGGCAAAGCGGGTCCGACGGTGGGCGTCACGGCCGCCCACCCATCAGGGTTCGCAGCTCATCCTGACAAACAATGATGCAATGGGCCCCGAAACCCCTCACTTGCTTAAAAGGCCACCTACTTGTTCCTTCTCTCCGTTCACGATCTCTGTGATCTCTCACGACACTCTTCATCCCATCTCACAACCTCTTATTCAAACTCAAGTCATCATGTCTTTCGGTAACAAGGCTAAGCTTAACTCCGGCGCCGAGATCCCGTACGTTTGCTTGTTTACAGTGATCTGAACTCTTTTGGTTCAGGCCCCTGCCGATCACTGTACCCCGCTTCACGTTTTGAGCTTCACTGACTTTTGACCCCTCATTTCAGTACTCTGGGATACGGCACCTGGCAGTCCAAGCCCGGTGAAGTCTCTGTCGGTGTCTACGAGGCCCTCAAGGCCGGCTACCGTCACCTTGTAAGCATCGGCAAACGTTGAAAGAGACATGGGGCAGGAGCTGACAGCAACGGCAGGACTTGGCCAAGATCTACCAGAACCAGCCCGAGGTTGGTGAGGGTCTGAAGAAGGCTCTTGCTGACATCCCCGGCCTCAAGCGTGAGGACATCTTCATCACCTCTAAGCTGTGGAACAAGTGAGTTACCTTGGTACGTGAAATGAGACATGTTTACTGACAGCATCACAGCAACCACCGCCCCGAGAACGTTGAGGCTGCTCTTGACGAGACCCTCCAGGAGCTCGGCCTCGACTACCTTGACGTGAGCATACCCAATCCTTCCATCTACTGGAATACTCACTCACCGACCCTTCTAGCTCTACCTCATCCACTGGCCCGTTGCCTTCAAGAAGAACGGCGGCGAGCTCTTCCCCAAGGCCGCCGGCAATGACTCCGAGGTCGACCTCGACCAGGGCGTCTCCCTCGTCGACACCTGGAAGGCCCTGATCGCCCTGCCCAAATCCAAGGTCAAGGCCATCGGTGTCTCCAACTTCACCATCGACGACCTCCAGACCATCATCGACGCCACCGGCGTCGTCCCCGCCGTCAACCAGGTCGAGCGCCACCCCCTCCTCCAGCAGAACGACACCCTCATCAAGTACGCCAAGGAGAAGGGCATCCACATCACCGCCTACTCCGCCTTCGGCAACAACGGCTTCGGCCTGCCCCTGCTCATTGAGCACGACGTCGTCAAGAAGATCGCCGAGAAGATCAACGCCACCCCTGCCCAGGTCGTCCTCGCCTGGTCCCAGGTCGGCGGCCACTCCGTCATCCCCAAGTCCGTCACCCCCAGCCGCATCCACTCCAACTTCCAGGAGGTCAAGATCTCCGACGAGGACGTCGCCGCCATCAACGAGATCGGCAAGGAGCCCCGCCGCTACAACATCCCCTTCACCTACAAGCCCCGCTGGAACATTAACATCTGGGACGAGAAGGAGGAGAAGGAGGCTGCCAACCGCGTCGTTCGCAAGCTTTAGAAACGTGATACCATGTCGGAGATTAGAGAGGGCTTAGACGGCCTTGAATAGACGACTCTATGAATAATGAAAAAAGAAAGATATACAAGCCACGACAATAGTCTTTAAACTATCTTTGTGTTGTGATGTTCTCCAGGTGCAGTGCTCGGCGCTCACTTGCTCGCCAGCAGTCGCCATAGAAATGGGGTTAAGAGGACAGTAAATTAGAAATCTTTCTTAGTTAGCCGAACAAGAACAACGCGAGACCCACAACCCATAACCACATCCGATCCCACAATGTCCCATACAGATGGCCGGTACCCTGGCGGCAGCCACAGCACGTCTGTGTTGCCCTTGCAGATCCAAGAGAGATCTCTCCTGACCCTGTATTCATGTGGCTCAATCCATCCAACACCTAGCAAGCTCTTTGGCACAATCGGTCCTGGAGAGGACAAATTGAAGGAATTGCTATCAAAATGTATGTGGGTCTCGTTTTCGGAAAACCTGATGCGGCCCGGATCTAGGGGTTCAAGGTGAGTCGTAAATGAGGCTTGCAAGTCGCCTGTTGCCGTATCCCAAAGCCTCAGGTTGACCCTTCCATATGCTGCGAGCATGGACCCACTCCGTGAGAACGCTAATCTTGTAACGATGATGCCATCGTCTGCCCACTCTAGGCAACGGTCTGAAGCTAAGTCCCATAATCTGATCTTCCTATCCGAGGTGCTGAATTCAGCAACATATAGGCTGTCCTTAAAGAAAGTCGCCGAGACAACCGCACCTGGGGTGCAATTTAGACTTGACACAATTTCTTCCCTCAACCACCCAGTCTGATAGTCCCAGACTGTGACAACGTTACCGTCAACAACCAAAACTTCTTTCCCATCCGGAGAAAGTGCCAAAGCGGCGATTTGCTTGAAATGATGGTCACGAATGTGTACATAGCGGATTCGTCGGTCTAGACCTAACCATGTTACTTTAGCGACTTGAAACACTGAAAATGGAGGATCATGTCTACTGACTGCTTTCAAACCGCCAAAAGAAGGAAGGTAGCTTTTGACGCCACAAGTATGCGCGGCTTGTGGGTGAGTCTGAGCGAGACCTCAGTCTTGGGGACTCGCTGGTATTGTCTAGGCTTGTCGTAGAAACAGCTGCACGCCTATTTTCGTACTCATCATTATTGGCCAAGTTCCACAACTTGACTGTTCCGTCTTTTGCCGATGATGCGAGAGTTGCGCCGTCCGGTGCGAAATGTAAACAGTTGAACGGTCCGCCAAACCCTTGAAGTGTTTTGACCGCATGGCACTTTGGGCTCCACAATTTGATACCATTCGTGCCCCAGTTTGTTGCCAGTCGCGAGTCGTCAGCAGAGAAGACCATGGCAGTGATTCTCTTGTCGACTCTGCGACGAATTCCGGTAGAACCATCATCCAGGTCCCAGACCAGCAAGTATTCACTGGAAGCACTGGCGACCTTTCTGCCGTTTCGTGAGAGCGCTATAACTTGCACTTCGTCGGGATGACCTTGCAATGTCTCATGTCGCTTGGCCGTCTTTGCATCCCAAAGCTGTATATCCCCAGCGCTCGATGGAAATGCAAAGAACTGCCCATCACCTGATACTGCAAGTCTGCCCCCTTCAACGTCTTCTACTGCTTGACGGCAGTAACCAGTCACCGTATCCCAGATTCTGATCGTTCGATCCATAGAACCTGACACTAAGACCTGACCTCGGTCATCCAAAGCAATAACAACAACTGCATCCTTGTGGCCAGTGAAAACGATGTTTTTGAAGTGTCCCTTGGCTGTATCCCATAGTGTGATAGATCCGCTTGCTGACCCCGAGACAACGGTAGTCCCATCCTTCGAATACGTTAAAGAGTGGATGGGCGTCGAGTGACCCCTGAGAGATCTTATATATGACCCAGTGTCTGTCCTCCAAAGAGCAATGTATTGGTTAGCAAAAGCCGAAACAATCGTTGATCCATCCGGCGAGAAGACTACTGGCGAGCATGCACTTTGCGCTTCAAGCGACTGTAGACTTGAGCCCCAGTCGGTTTGAATCATCGCTGTCAATTGAAAAGGAGGAAGCTCCTCATTCGCGAATGTCGTCCTTACGATGCTCTGCTCCGGACTGAATAAGAGTGCGGAGCGATACGCCTCCATTGGTGACTTCTCGATGCCCACGCGAAAGCGACGCAAAAAACGCAATGCATCCCATACAAAATTGATGAACTCCGTAGCCTCGGATCTCATATCGTAATTCTGCTCCTTGTTACCATACACCATGCTTTCGATAACATTCCGTACTCACCTTGTATGCTTTTAAAAGTTTGAGAAGGCCATCTATGCCTTTGGACAAGAACTTAAGGCGAGAAAGGGCCTCAACCCAGTGAAGAAAATGCTTTCTCAAAAAGCCGTGGATCTCATTTTGCTGTTTCTGGCGTGCGATATCGCTCTTGATAAAATGGTCGATCCAATAGACGCATGCATATTGAAGAAGAGACATCGGAGGACTAGGCCGAGAAGGAATGGCCATGTTATAGTCGTTTCTTCGAAGTTCGATTGACATAGCGTGAATCAGCCTTGATAGAAGCCAGGTGTGCTGAGACTCAACGTCCCCAAACACACTATTCCTTGTGCATTTCCTGAGCCAGAATTCCTTGGCCGACTGGTGCACCAGATAAACGGCACTATTCTGGCAAACGAGTAGACCTCGGCACTCCTTCGTGATCAGCTCCAAAGAACACGGTGGTTCAATTTTAAGGATGGAAGCCAGGCCTTTTGAACTTATCGGAGAGTAACAGATGCTGAAGAGAGATAGTATCTTGAAGCAAATGTGTTTTCGCTCTGACATCATTCCCGAGATCTGGTTTAGGATTCGTTGGTACACCTCATCCAGGCCCTTGGGATAGGAACTCAGAACGCTATAGGCGTCAGTTGCCAGCAACTCGTGCTCTGCAAGTTGTTCGCAGACCAAAGATACCCAGAGAAACGTGCCATTCGCCTTGCGCTTCAGGTAGTCGGAAACATCGTTTTGTGTCTTCTGATCGTATCCTTTCCGCTTCGCAAGTTCGTTCACTTTATATCGTATGTACTCGTTGATTTTTTCCTTGTTGTTCTTCAGAACGATGCGAAGTTTGTCTTTCGCAACGCTAAGTCCGTTCGTTATCTTAGGCAGGTCCCGGCTGGAGACAATGGTCCTGGCTCGCTTGGAAAGCGTAATAAGAAGGTGAAGTAGGTCATCGAGGCCGGTTTCACACTCATCCAGAGCGTCAACTACTATGGTGAACTTTCTACGGGGATGGTCAGACAGAATGCTGGTGAGCATTGCGCAGAGGACACCCCAGCTATTGGAATCCTGGAAGAGCATTTCTCCTTTTTGCTCGTAATTACGACGGAGAGGATTTATGAGTGAGCGGTCATTTTTGAGAAGTAGCCACAAAAACCCGCGAACCACGTCGGTAGCAGTTGTTTTCCTTGTAGCCTGGCAGAAGTAGTAGAGGAGCTTGTGGTCTGGATCTTGGAGACAGTTGATGGTGTGGCACATGAGCATGGTCTTGCCTTTGCCGGGTTCGCCGGTTATCCAAAGCAACCGTCTTTGCGGCCCTGTTCGCCAGTCGCGGAATGACTGGTGGTCGACTATCCAGTGACACAGACCTGGGATCAAGTCCCCCTTCCCTTTCAGGCTTTCGATGGTCTTTTTGTCGTCTCCTGGATCGGTTTTGAACAAGTCTGTTAAGAACCGACTGTCTCTGTCATGAGAGTCTGGAAATTTGGACTGGTTAGTGATGATTCTCTGACCTGTGCGATGATCTCACCTATCCAATTGATGTTCTCGGCTATGTACTGGGTGCCAGGACCGCAGTTGTTGTTCTGGACTCCTGGTCCAACATTCTGATGGACGTCTTGTGTCCGTGTTCCGTTCACATGGGCCATACTGGAAGGCATGATGGCTAGCTGAGTATTTCCCTTGAAGAAAGCATGAAATTATCAGCAGATGCACAGGGGAAGAAATCTCGATTAGTTTGTCAGCATATTTCTAAGCCTTTGTCGCAAGGCGGCCAGGCGAACCAGAGCCTGCTGCTCCGCCCCAGTCTGCATACATTGTTTCCCTCCCTTTTTGGCCGGTTGACCCGCCAAGCCTGGTTTTGCCGCCCTGAAATTCTCGCTGTATTGATTGCTTGCCCCAATTGGTAGGCAACGATGGTGGTCAGCATGGGCATGCACCTTATGCCTGCAACATCGAGCATGATTCGTTGCTTCTCACATACATATCTCAGCACATGGTTCGGTATCTCCACACTTTCACTGGGTAATGTGGGTATCGGGTGAATTCGCTCCTCTGACGCATGCAAGCATAGTGGGAAGGCAACTGACTATGTTGAGGGGTCTTTGCCAAAGGTTGGCCCGGCGTAAGACCCTCCGCCCCATGGTTTACTCTGGATCCTTCCATGACAATCGCAAAAGCATACAACATTTGGACCCGAAATAGCACAGCATTAGCTTCGCGGACACTTCGCCTCGAGTTATCTTCTAGATGGCGGATCATCGTCAACCCCAGCATCGGGGGGACTTCGAGATTGCTGTGGTCTGCGCTTTATCCCTCGAATATGATGCGGCCACGTTGGCTTTTGACGAGTTCTGGGACGAAGATGGCGACAAATTTGGGAGAGCGCCAAATGATCCTAACAGTTACACAACTGGGCGTATGGGTCGACATAATGTTGTTCTCGCATTACTCCCAAACATGGGCAAAGCAAGTTCATCAGGCGCAGCAGCAGCTCTTCGATCAAGCTATACTGGTCTGAAGCTTGCTATCCTCGCCGGTGTCTGCGGAGGCGTGCCTGGATCAGGCGACGAGGTCGATGAGATGATACTCGGAGATGTCGTCATCAGCAAAAGCGTCATTCAGTTTGACTTAGGCCGCCAATACCCCGATAAGTTCTCTCGCAAGGATACCATTCACGACAACTTAGGGCGATCAAATCTGGACATTCGCTCTTTGCTCGCTATATATGAGTCTG